AAACAGGACATGTAAATACAGCCTTCTATACATGTTTTTATTATTCAGAGGACAAATGTGGCAGTCGGGAATACAGTATGGTTGATGAAATGTTTGTGGGTCCTTTCAGTTTATTTAGAATACTTATTGGAGAGTTTGGAATGCCTTTGAAATAACTATTGGCCTTGAAGCATGTTTTATTTAGAGGAGAAGACCGGCGGTGGGAAAATGCTTTACGAAGATAAGATAGTTGTGGAATATCCTACAGATTGTTTAGAATGCTTGTTAGAGTGTTTAGTCTACCTTGTTTGGTTACCTATTACAGTGTTTAAAATATCTTGGTGTACTTTGAATATCCTCAAGTGAATTTTGTTCTGGTGGCATCAATTCAATAAAAGGAAAAAAAGCAATTCGAGTTTTCTAGCTCTTCCTGAAGAGTATAGTTTCTCATATAATACCTGCAGGATTTTGGAATTAAGTACAACATGGAAAATGGTGGACCTGCACCAGAAGGTATAACAAACAAGATCTATGAGAACACCACAACAATAAAGGACTACTTGATTGCCGAGGGCCTGCCTGATGTAAGATGTACTCCTTCCCTATTACATTTTGCTGAAGTTCTTAATTTGATTGATGCAGTAACTTTCTGATATCGCCCAACTTGAATGTAGGTGGACATATCTACAACAGGTGTCTCCAGCTTTGAGGGTCCAGGGGGGAAATTTGACGTTGATGTTTTTGATTCAACTAGTGACTATCTGAAATTGTTGAAGTATGAATCTTTCTCTTATGTGCAAAAATAAATGTCTTTCTTCTTTCAGTTGGGATATATGTCAAGTAATGCTTATACATTTAATATGTCCTTTAATATGGAAAGGCCAATCAACAATCTTTTTGCAAAGGCACTAATTCAGCTATTTCTGAATTTTGAGTGCCATTCCTTTCCAATTTTTAAGGGCTTTGTGATGTGTCTAGAGTTTGTTTACTGAACACTTAGAAAACTGATATTGCTTCATGCATTTGTCGTTGGATTTTTTTCTGAAGCTAACTTTCATCTTTATTACCTTTCATATGGTTATTCTTTTTATAGTAATAGTTTCTTTTCTAACTCAATGTTTGACATGGCATATCTGTTTCCAGGTCAATATTTGACTTCCCATCTATCCAGAAGTTGCTCTCTTCTCCAAATTTTTTGATGTACATTCCTCTGTCAATTCCTTTTCGTGCTAGGAGTATCTGCTAGGTACTCACATCTCTGCACACTGTAGCTATGATGCACTTCACGGTGTTGCTGGAATTCATGCAAAACGTATTTTTGTGGAGGAGCTTGGTGCAAATGAAAGCTCTCTAGTAAATTGTGTTCCTAAGGTCTTCTCGCTTTCCTTGCATTGTGACCTTTCTTTCATTAAAATGTTTGGCTTTCTGTTTTATTTAAAGCTATATTTTATGACTTCTTTTTTCTTTCTATGATATGTATGATTAATTTAATAGGAGGATTTTGGTGGAGGGCATCCCGATCCCAATCTGACATACGCAAAGGAGTTAGTTGCACGTATGGGATTGTCTAAAACACATTCCGAACCCAATCCACCAGAATTTGGGGCAGCTGCTGATGGAGATGGGGACCGTAACATGGTCCTGGGGAAAAGGTAACATCTTGTTGATTTTCTTTGAACTACAAGTATTACTTGCTTAAAATCGCATCTTAATTTTTGTTGTTTCCTTTGTTTGTTGTGATAGATTCTTTGTGACTCCTTCTGATTCTGTTGCTATCATTGCTGCCAATGCTGTAGAAGCAATTCCTTATTTTTCTGGAGGATTGAAAGGAGTTGCCAGGTCCGTATCGGTTTTTTGGATCGTAGCTTTATATGATTGTTGTGTTGTTAAGATTTCTATTTAAGAGTTATTCATCTTGTGATGAAATATGTCAGAGTTTAATGTGATGCAATGCTATCCTTTCTACAGGAGTATGCCCACATCTGCTGCTCTTGATGTTGTTGCGAAACATCTGAACTTGAAATTCTTTGAGGTACTATGTTGCTCCATTGGCATTTAAATGTTATTTATTTTTCTTTTGTTAGTGGAGGGTTGAGGGAGTGCTGGTTTTTAAGTTTTCCATATCTGCCTTTACTGCTTCAGCATTCTGATTATCTTTTCTTTGTTAAGGTACCCACTGGTTGGAAATTTTTTTGTAACTTAATGGATGCTGGAATGTGTTCAATTTGTGGAGAAGAAAGTTTTGGAACTGGTTGGATTTCTTGACTTGATTCTTGTGTCAAATCGATACAAATAGGTTCGACAATATAATTGGACACATTAAGGCAATAAATCTTTTCAATTATGTCTTCACAGGCTCAGACCATATTCGAGAGAAAGATGGAATATGGGCTGTTTTGGCTTGGTTATCTATCCTTGCCTATAAAAATAAGGACAACCTTGGGGGAGGTAACCTTGTGACTGTTGAAGATATCGTTCGCCAACATTGGGCAACCTATGGACGTCACTATTACACTCGATATGACTACGAGGTTTTTGCTTAATAGTTCCCTATTTACTGTAAAATGAGCTTTTCTATGTCTGCTTAACTTAAATCATGTCAACCAATTTTTTTGTTTCTTCTAGAATGTTGATGCTGGTGCTGCAAAGGAGCTCATGACTCATTTAGTGAAGCTGCAATCTTCCCTTGATGAAGTTAACAAGTAAGCTATCCTTTTAGTTTCAAGTTTCTCTCTGGAATACCCAAGGTTTCTAAAGCATGATTATGCAATTTTTCACTCATCATATATTTCTATTTCCTTATCTTTGTATTTTGAGGATGTCCATCCTTTTTATGCGAAATTCCAGAAGATACTAGCTTAAACACAAGGTAGTAGGTCTTCCTTGAACAGTAGTTACGACATAAGATTTTAGACTGATCCGGTGCACCCAATGACACTTGGAGCAGTTATAGATAGCATGTAAGAACTGTGGATATACTATAATATGGAGGAGGCAGAATACATCAACAAAAAGACCTGTACTACTCCTTTATTTAATAGAGATCTGATGTGTCATTTGGGAGATGGATTTTTGCCCTTACCGCCATATATCTATCTGACTCCTCTTCACAAACTGAAATCCTTTTGTAGTAGGAAGTACAGGAGAATTTTCTAGACCAAATTGTGATTTGCATGCCTTCCACGATTACGTCAGGTGTTCTAATTGCCAGGATGACGTTAGAGCTAAGGCCTTTTATTTCTAGCTTAGTTTGACAATCGCAGCACCTTTAACAGGAAGGAGGCAGAATACAGCAAAAAAGGCCATTACTGTATTTGTGTGTTTGTTTTTCTTTTCTTTTTTTCTTTTAATTTTTTAAGTGCTATTATTTAATAGAGACCTGCTGTGTCGTTTGGGAGAGGATTGTTTGCCCCTTACCCCTGTAGATCTATCTATGACTCCTTCCAACAAACTGAAATCCTTCCGTAGTAGGAAGTAAAGGAGAATTTTCTATCCCAAATCATAATCTTCGGCATGCCTTCCATGATTTCATCAAGTGTTCTTCTGACTGGCAAGATGACTTTAGAGTCAGAGTACTTTTGAATCGCTTGGCTCATGGCTGTGGCCATCGAGTCAAATGCTTGACTGTCTTTAGTATATTCATATGTTGGATCGGCATAAACATAATCTACCACTATGTCAATCCATGTACTTGCCATGAAAAGGATGAATAAATCAATTAATTACATGTGGGCAGCATTTGCATTATTTGGTCTTTCCTTGAAGCCACCTCCCTTCTCCTTATAATATCCTCGCATATTAGGAACTTGGGTGTTTTTGTTTCCGAAGAGGTGATTTTGAGAATCAACCAATGGAAATTGTTGCCCAATTGGTTCACAATCTCCTGCGTCCAAATAAATGAAATGGGATGAGTTAAATTAACAAGCTTTCAATTGATTTAGGGTGCAGCCAAACGAAATTCTATGGGGCAAGGGGCCATATTTTAGTTTGTGGTAGGTTCATCCTATTCAAATTTAGCTGTACCTTTGGACCAGGAATAGTTTAATCTCTATTTGAGTTTCCATGTCTGTCAAGTTTTGTCATGGTTGTTCTTCCGCTTTAGAGGTTCTGCTTAATGGTGGCTTTTCTTTGCCTGGTTTATTGAGATCCATTTTTTATATTGGCAGCTCACCAGCTTGGCATGCTTTTGGTAGTTTTTTTCATTTTCATCTATAGAGCCCCATTGCTGATCTTAAGAGCTAGGCTTGAATAATACTCCTAGTTGCTTGATCACTTCTCTAGTTTTCTGAATTCATAAATTTTATACCTGATTTTCATGCTAGATACATCAAAGTTTTTCTTATTACCAACTCATGTTGCATTATCACAGTACTTTGATGCTACTAATCACAACAACAAAAAAAAAAGGAGAGCTTCTTATTGCGATGGATGTTTTTTAAGCTAGAAGTTTGATCTGTTGTACCCTGTAACCCAAATTCAGAAAGCATGTCTTTTTGCTTGTATAATCTGTTCAAGATTGTGATAGTTTCAGGTTTTCCCCAAAAAAACAAGAAACGTCACACAAACAGTTGATACCTCCTTTTATAATTAGAAGAATGTGAGATCCCGACTTCTATCTGTTAGATTTTCGTCATCCGAGCCAGCACAGTTTGAGGTTGAATATGTGGCATGCTTGCTTTTTGTAATGTGTTTGGTATTTACCATGTTACCAGTCATATTACTTGCAATGTCAGTAGAAAATAAATTTTGCTTGGATTTTGTCTCTGGGGCCTTTTTGTGAGTTTTCAAGGTGGCCACGTTAAAATGTGTCATACTGTCATGTAGGCACTTTTTCTAGAACAGGATTGATTCTATTGCTGTGTCGTTTCTTTATGTAATACTTGACCTCGAGATAATTTCCCATACAGGATTATAAAGGGAATCCATTCAGATTCAGATGTTTCAAGTGTCGTTCATGCTGATGAATTTGAGTACAAGGACCCAGTTGATGGTTCGGTCTCAAAGCATCAGGGTATCAGATATCTATTTGAAGATGGATCACGATTGGTAAGGGATCTCTGCTGCTCTAGCAGTATTTAGAATATGTGAATTAGAAGCTGTTGTGCATGGGAATATGAAAAGTATACACAGTTAACTGGGGATTCAAATTCTGTTCTGAGTTCATTTCTTTTTACCGAAAGAATTAACTCTTTTTGGGTGCATATGGTCATGATCTTTTCGTGTTTTACTTATCCACCTTTTGGACTGTGCTAGGTTTTCCGTCTCTCTGGAACTGGCTCGGAAGGTGCTACTATCCGTCTGTACATTGAGCAGTACGAGAAGGATTCATCCAAGATTGGAAGAGATTCTCAGGAAGCACTTGCTCCACTGGTAAGTAATGTTGGAGAAAAGTTAATGTTTGTTATGCACCATCTTCTTTTTATTTTATATTTTGGTGTTTTCGGTAAATGAGATTTATCTTGTTACAGGTGGAGGTTGCTCTTAAGCTATCGAAAATGCAGGAATACACTGGCCGTTCTGCCCCAACTGTTATTACATAAACTTATTCGTGTATGATATACTTGCTTTTGTATCTTAGGAACTAAATAATTGAATAGTCCTACTGTCCTCACTGGATGGACACCATTGAATTTACAAGATATCAAGATATTCTCTTGTCTTTTATTATGGTCCACATCCAATGAGGGTTACTGTGAAAGAACTCATGTCTGGATTTGAAGAGTCTTGTTCAAATATAGAAATGCAGCAATCTATCTCACTGTACTTTGATTCATTGCTCTTTCATCTTTAAATGACTACTGCTATGAACGGTCTTTGCTTCTGCAAATTCTTATTCAGCTTTTCCAACCTTGACTAGTTTCAGTCGGTTGAGTACTTTTTTTTTTTTGATATCAGGATTTTCTGTATTTTTCTTCTAAACTTTGGCCAAGGTGTGCTGCACTCTTTTTCTTTTCTTTCCCCTTATATATTTTTTTGGTTGTCAGCCAGGCAGCCTCATCCTGTGTATCTTGATAGCCAAAAAGGCTCAACCCTCGAGTGAGTGACATACTAACAACCACCCTCTGTTTATTGTTGTATTTTCACTTCTCTGATGTTTTTCATTAAGTTTGTATGTTTGGAGCAAACCTTTGCACATCTATGTTGGTTATGACTCCCTTTGCTCGCATGCTCGTACAACAGGAACAAGATAGCTGAGCTAGTTGCCGTACACATCGTAATTTTCATTCAAACCTATCATACACTTTTCAGGAACATAGTTATCGACATGTTACATGCACCAAAGCAATAAAGCATTAAAGTGAATGATATATATCTTTTATTAAATATAACAAAATCAGTACTTATGTATTTTTACATCAATTATCATTATGTGCAACTTTTATACTATAAACTTCAATATCCAGAGTAAACGTGACATGAACTTCTATGAGTGACATGGAGCACAACTATAGAAATTATAGCACAAATCGATGTCTAGAAGAAAAGATAAACGCTAATGTCTAGAAGAAAAAAAAATCAAACGCTTACATAACATAAAAGGCACCCACGAAATAAGTATGGGGCTTACTCGAATTTAAGCTCAAGTATCTTTACTTTGTCTTTGATTCTGTATCTGTAGCTGAAAGCATGAAATATATGGTCGAGTCTACTTATCATTGGATGGTAACTTAATCCAAGATAGAATTTGGTATAAGGTTCATGCCATGCAATACATACAGGAATATATATGCATAGATACTTGTCACGATAAAAAACCTCACTAAGTCGTGATGACACCTAACTCAATCCGCTAAGTAAGCCAAATAGTATAAGTTACTACCGAATTGAGAAATCAGCAATATATTTAATAAACACTGCAAGAGAATTCAATATAACTATCCTAAGGACTGGTAGTACAAGTCATGAGCCACTATGATTTGGATTTGCAAAATTGACGTGAGAAATAAATATAATATCTGTTTGAAAGTTACATAAGCAGAAATGAAATCCTAAGCTATACTAAACAAAAAGTTAGCATGAATCTGGTACGCTGGTACGTCTCCAGTGTAGAGCCTCGTCTTCACAGCTACTCAGCTCCAGAATCTGCACACAAGGTATAGAAGTATAGTATGAGTACTGTTACACTCCAAACCTGAAGAGGCGTGGCCGGCACCCGGTGCCATACTTGGCCCGAGCGTACCACTCTGTAACTGTGAACTCTGCAGGGGTAACCCTCAACTTATGTCGAAGGCCATATTCTGAATCATCTGAAAATAACGTCTACAACTAGCAATACCACACTAAACATCTACATAGGGCTGGTAAAGCCACAACACTGATATAAAAAATGTACAGGACTCATCTACAAGCCTGTAGGGATAACTAAATTGTATCATGGTTGGGACAGGGCCTCGACCTACCCATCAAACTTATATATATAAAATGGACTCCAAGGTATAGACCTGATAACTCAGAGGAAGTGGAGCTTACCAACCAAGCTGCTGTTTATCTTTGTCTACTGGAAAGGTTTATCCAGCTGTCTATCAGGACCTGCATACATGAAATGCAGCTTCCCCAACAAAAGGGACATCAGTACGATATAATGTACTGAGTATGTAAGGCAACAAAATAACTGAAAGCTGAAACTGAACTAATAATAAAATAACTGAACGTACTTGGGAGTCAAATATAATTTGAAAATATGTTTACCTGCTGATACTGACTCATCTTTCTCAATATATTAAGTAAAATAGCTGTCTGGCCATATAAGACTCGGTATGTTTAATAGCTCTGCCGTAGTAGGCTCGCTCATAGGCGTTCGGCCATACTAGGCTCTGTATCTCGGCCATTCTGGGCTTGCTCATAGGCTCTCGTCCACAGTAGGCTCGGTATATAACTTACCATCTGATAAAAGGTTGCCCAATAGGGGCCTGCCCATCGATTATAGGTCGATGGTGGTAAAATACTGTAATACTGTATATATATAGACTATCCGCTCTCTTGGCTAAAAGAAGACAAAACTAAACTGAATATGAAATCCCGATAAGGGAGAATACTATAGCTTATGAGAATAGGATAATGTACATAAATTCAATAATAAGAACTTCTCTTTATGCCTCGTTATCAAACGTATGTAGTTACGGGATCATGCTAAAATGAAGGAAAGGTTTAGCCTTAACATACCTTAGCTCTGCTGAGTCCTTAATAATTTCCAAGAAATTCTTCAAACAACTCAACTCAATCTACCACAACATAAGGAGATTCAAAATCAGTGATGAGTAAAGGCTAAGTCCGCAACTTAAACTATTAGCTCGTTTACGTAAATTTGGAAGCATCTCCTCTATAACAAGGCCCTCCTCAAATACCATGTACCAACAACAACAAGAACACAATAATAATAACATGTACGCATTATTTCCAACCTTATCTCCATCACAATATACCACAAAACAACCCACATACCCTAATCACTTTATACATAAAATAACAATCAAAGTAGTGCCAAACAACCAAAAATATTGTAACGACGAATGATCAGTCCACCATTCCGTCATTATGTGGTGTTTCTCCATACTCTTTCTCCTCCAAAACTCCATAAACATTAGCACAAGAGGCCAAAATGAGTGGACTACAAAACAGTCCACTAAAACTGAAATAAATCGAACTCACAGCTTTCGATTATCGTCCCGTGAGTTCTAACTATTAGGAAACAAATTTATCAACCTTCCTTGATATTTAAAAGCTTAAATAAAGAAATTAGGATTTTCTTAACTATGACGTACATTCCGAAACTCAAACTACAAATAAAAAGAGAGGCGATATAGCGATACTTACGTCGTAGAGATCGTTCTAATGTTATCACTTCTTGATTTCGTACCTGAGATGTTAATATTCTTTGGAACCCTTGTAAAGAGCTTAAGGGTAAGTTTTTGGGGGTTCCCTGGTCGTTTTCTATGAAAACTGAAGAGAAAACGATTTAGAACACTAAATATATCAACTTTTGAAAAGTCAAAGAGGTGCTAGCTTGGAACCCTAACATTGGCCATTCTTCCGACGCTTATATCTTTTTATCCGGATATCATATGAACGAATAGTTAAGAGATCTAGAAACAAAATTCCAAGACTTTCAATTTGGTATATAATATGTACCAAAAGACCTCATATAACACATGAAATGTATTGCTCAAAAAGCTTTAGTGACACACCTACTTGTCACCTATGCAGTTTGCGCAGTCTCGCAAAACTGCAAATATCTTTCTACTTCTATGTTGTATCGACTAACGGTTTAATGCGTTAGAAACTACACTCGTAGATATACAATTTTTTAGGTAGATCATCCCCTAATTCCAAGTATATTGGTAGAAAAGCTCAGCTATATTTTACCTAAGTTTCAACACATTTATGAATGTAACTTGTGATGACCTTTTCCAATTTTTGTTCCACAACTCGCTTGACTTCAATACATAACGCACGTCTATCATACGACTAAAATAACTCATAACATAATCTCCTTATAATTTTAAGGACCATATTCACACCCCAAAAGTATATGTTATAATATTCCCCACATGTCGACTTTTGACGAAACTTATTTTTTTCAATTCGTTTAACTTCTAACCCTTCCAACCCTCTTGGTACTTGGTATTCCTGATCTTAAATATTTGTAACCTCCATGGTAACATGATTAACTTACTTTATGTACTTAAAAGATGATCTCATTTTTGAGCTTACATCAATTGACTTAAGACGTACTCTTAAGTACAAAAACATGGGGTGTAACAAGTACAACCGATCTCATATACTTAGTAAGTATCTTGACTAACCTCAGAGAAGTAGTGACGATGTTTTTAAGTTGAAAGATGCTCACTTTGCAGAACCTGTGCATCTCAATCATATGTATAACACAAATAAAATATTCTAGACAGATAGTTACGAAATAAAGAGTATCAATAGTAAAGGTACCCAACAAGATCCGCTTCTGTCACGACCCAAATCAGAGGGCCACGACTGGCACCCGATGCCTACTCAACCTAGTGCCATGTAACTTATCCCCTTTTCTCCTTTTTTTTTAATTATAAAACTCGTCACGGGCCATGATAGGCCACATTTATATATGTAATTAATAATATTAGAACTTAACTCACATAACTAATTCAAAAAGATTTATATAGATACATAGGGGTCGTCAAGGCCGTTGACATGTCATACCTAAAGCTATACACAGGACACTGTCTGCAAAACCTCTAAGAAAACATGATCATAATATATAACACAGGACACTGTCTGCAAAACCTCTAAGAAAACATGATCATAATATATAAGTCGGGACAGGGTCCCCGACATCTTCATAAAACAAAGTAAAATATAAAGAACATGACTCGGTAATACTCCAGGAAGATGTGGAGCTCACCAACCAAAAGCTGATATATGGAGGCAGCCTACAGTGGATGGTCCTCACCTCGCCTATCTACACCTGCATGGCATGAAACACAGCGTCCCAGGAAAAGGGACGTTAGTACGAAGAATGTATCGAGTATGTAAGACAGAAATGAAACGTAGTAATAATAAGATACTATCTCGGGGAGAGATAAGAGTCAACTTATAACTTTTGACTTGCCGTTGAGGGCCGTACCATGTAGAATAAAACCCATTCGTATATATAAATAAAACTACGATATAGTAGTTCTGATTATATCATTCTCGTGGCGTTAACTACCCAATTGATGAGTAGTAACTGCCCGACCGGCCGTAGCTCGGTGGTAAAAGCACTACCCAAACGGTGGTAAATAACTGCCTGACCGATCGTAGCCCGATAGTAAATGCATGTCTGCCCAACCGGCCGTAGCACGATAATAAATAAATATGCATGACTGCCCAACCGGCCGTAGCAAGATAGTAAATATGTAACTGCCACTTCAGAAAGGAAAGGCACTGTTCAGTATTTTCATGACTTTTTTGTCCATAGAGATGTCGTTGAGGTGTCATTTGAGATAAAATAAGCCAAGTAAAATCATTTGCTTAACCACGAGACCAAACAGGAAAATATACAAGAGTTTGGGAAAAAAAAATTCTTAAATGATGACTCAAATTAATAAAATTACTTATTAGTGAAGTCATTTTTGCATAGCACTGGTGCTACTATCGTCCACACAATCACTGTATCCTAACTCCTAACTCATAATACAGGAAGTAGTACCATTATTTCCAAAGTGAGCAATTAATAACGAGTTAATTACCTTTAACTTCTTACGGATATAAATGACTAAATACAAGGTTTTAACTTTAGATAAAAGAGGGAAAGGATTAAAAAAAAACAAAAGCGACAATGACTAAATGCGTAATTAGTCATTACATTTGCATATCGTTGCTTGGATCATGCCTAAAAAAGGAAGGATTAGCCTTAACATACCTGAATCGATTCTCTTGAAAGAGATTATACCGTACTCCCTTAATGTTGCAAAATCTCACATTAATTAAGTTGTTCTGAAATCCCGGGTCTTGAGGCGTTGAAGACGCTATAGAATGTTAAACATTTGAATTCCTCCAAATTCTTGAATTCTCACGTTATCAAATGAATGGAATGGATATATGACCCTTTTTATGTCCTTAAGACATATCTAATTTTCTTTTGCAAAAAGGTGTATCATTTAAGTCTTAAGACAAGTTGCCACATAGACAAATGACTTTAAGAGTCATTCCTAAGATTATGGTGGTGTTGCCACGTGGGGTTCTTAATATTATCTTATAATTCATTTATTAATTAGGTAATGTCCCGTTACCCGATAAATTAATCAATTTCCCACATAATTAAGAATTATCTCAAATTACTTAAAATTCTACTTATCTTAATACACTTTATACTTCATATTATCACGGTCATAAAGCACCTTGTATGATACTAGTCCATAAATGTCGGGTATTATAACTCGGACCATATTTTATCCCAAAATAACAAACTTCGGCGATACTCAATTTCTTCAATTCGTTAACCCTATGACCTTTATAACAGTTACTTGACACTTGTTACAAATAGCATAAATGTTATGATCTCAAAATAATCTCATTCCCGAGTCTACATTATTAACTTATAACAAAACTTTAACGTACTAAATGCGGGATGTAACATTCTTCCCCCTTAGAAACATTCGTCCCCGAATATTTAAACTTGCAAGATGTAGATATATACTCATCAATTTTAAATGTATAGATCTTCCCGGGCTATACTCCAATGAAACAATTATCAGGCTCACACAGGGTCAGGACGTCGTCCTTTCCTAAAACTACTTCCTAATCCATTCATAGCACCTACGATTCTGTTAATCTATCTTCTAGGCGCTGACACCTACTAGTTGTAATCTTAATAACCGGTTTCGAACTTTGCTTTCAAGCTAGCCTTGGTTTTCCTTAACCCTTCATACGTAATGCCAACTCAATCTTATTTTAATCATATTAACTGGATAATTTGCGTTAGTAAGATCGAACAATTACTCATAGTCACAGTACCTGACATATCATCCGGTGTAGCCTCTGGGTCCTGATGACCTGCCAAAGCATATATGCGGTTCTGACTACCGCCGGAGCTAGATGCTCTACCCCTACCTCTACATCTACTAGTTGATGCTTGAGGGCCTCGCTCTTGAGGGCGTACTGAAGAGGAGGAGACTGTTATAGATCTGGTGGGCTGAACCATCCCGCTTCTGCCATTTATAGGACAATCCCTCATATAATGACTAGGGTCTCCGTAGGTATAGCATACATTAGACCCTTGACGACATTGTCCAGAATGAGCTCTACCGCATTGACTGCACTGCGGAGGGGGCGCCCTCATTTGCGCTGAATCCCTCCGATTCTGAAAATCCGAAATTTTTGAGCCCTAACCTGACTCAGAATAGACAGATCCCTCATAATACGGCTTCTGCAACTGTCAGACACTTTCAACAAGATATGGTGACATAGGATCACCCGAAAAATCCTCAGGTCGCCTAGTAGATCTGGCCTTCTTACCTTGACCCTCATCACGATTCTCATATTGTTGTCGTTTCCGATCCTCCAAATTCTGAGCATAAGCCTGGATGCGGGAAATATCCATACCATCGAGCAGAGCGGCCGTGGAGAATTCATTTATCAGGTGCGGCCCAAGTCCTACTACAAACTGATGTACTCGGTCACTTATTTTAGCCATAATCGAGGGGGCATACCTCGCCAAGGAATCAAACTGGAGACTATACTCCCACACACTCATATTCCCTTGTTTAAGAGCCAAGAACCTGTCTACCTTTGCCTGATGAATCTCTGACGGTAAGTAATGATGTAAGAAAGCCCTTGAGAACTCTTCCCATACCGCTGGAGATGCATTTTTCCCTCGAGACAATTCCTAAGTTTCATACCACTGAACCGCAACATCTTGCAATCGGTAAGAAGCCAACTCTACTGATTCAGTGTCTGATGTATGCATCACCCTCAATGTCCTCTACATCCTATCACTAAAGTTTTGTGGGTCCTCATCCTTGTTGGTTCCGGTAAACACTGGAGGGTCCAAGTTGATGAAGTCTCGAACTCTCGCGCTAATAGCCCTGTCAACGTAACCAACACCTATACCTACCTGGCGCTGAGCCTGAGCGGCTACCAATCTAGTCAACAACTGTACTGCACTCCGCATATCTATATCCTTATCCTGAACAATAGGTGGAGGTACTGAGTTCCTCCTCATCTCCTCGGGTGCTGGCAAAATCGGAGAACTATGCGAGGGTGTCGTATTTCCCCTAGGGGCATCACTAGAGATTGGTACTCTACTCATGCCCTCATCTGCCACTACTTTACCTTTTTGACTAGCCGTAGCTTTCCTGGTCATAGGCATTGTTGCATATATAAAACAAGTCAAAGGTCAAGGGATTTATTCCCTATGACTCTGCTCTATTGCACGATCTAATATCAAGAAGGAAGGATAACCGGTCCCTAATTGCCCTGTAGTTTCTTGTTTATACAACGTGGTGCACAACAAATTTATAAGCAAGACTCTACTAGACACGGTTTGCAGACAACCCTAGGACAAAACTGCTCTGATACCACTTTTGTTACGACCCAAATCAGAGGGCCACGACTGGCACCCGGTGCCTACTCAACCGAGTGCCACGTACCTTATCCCCTTTTCTCCTCTTTTTTTATTTATAAAACTCGTCACGGTCCATGATAGGCCACATCTTTATATGTAATTAACAATATTAGAACTTAACTCACATAACTAATTCAAAAAGATTTATATAGATACATAGGGGTCGTCAAGGCCGTTGACATGTCATACCTAAAGCTATACACATGATACTGTTTGCAAAACCTCTAAGAAAACATGATCATAATATATAAGTCGGGACAGGGTCCCCGACATCTTCATAAAACAAAGTAACATATATAGAACATGACTCGGCAATACTCCAGGAAGATGTGGAGCTCACCAACCAAAATCTGATAGATGGATGCAGCCTACAGTGGATGGTCCTCACTTTGCCTATCTACACCTGCGTGGCATGAAACACAACGTCCTAGGAAAAGGGACGTCAGTACGAAGAATGTACCGCGTATGCAAGACAGAAATGAAACATAGTAATAATAAGATACTATCTCGGGGAGAGATAAGAGTCAACTTATAACTTTTGACTTGCCGCTGAGGGCCGTACCATGTAGAATAAAACCCATTCATATGTATAAATAAAGGTACGATATAGTAGTTCTGATTATATCATTCTCGTGGCGTTAACTGCCCAACTGATGAATGGTAACTGCTCGACCGGCCGTAGCTCGGTGGTAAATGCACTGCCCAACCGGTGGTTAATAATAATACATAACTGCCCAACTGGTGGTAACTGTCCGACCAGCCGTAGCCCGATAGTAAATGCATGTCTGCCCAACCGGCCGTAACACGATGGTAAATAAATATGCATGACTACCCATCCGGCCGTAGTACGGTGGTAAATATGTAACTGCCACTTCAGAAAGGAAAGGCACCGTTCAGTGTTTTCATGACTTCTTTGTCCGCACAGATGTTGTTGAGGTGTCATTTGAGATAAAATAATCCATGTAAAATCATTTGCTTAACCACGAGACAAAACAGGAAAAGAGACAAGAGTTTGGGAAAACCAAATTCTAAAATGATGACTCAAATTAATAAAATTACTTATTAGTGAAGTCATTTTTGCATAGCACTGGTGCTACTATTGTCCACACAATCACTGTCCTAACTCCTAACTCATAATACAGGAAGTAGTACCATTATTTCCAAAGTGAGCAGTTAACAACAAGTTAATTACCTTTAACTTCTTACGGATATAAATGACTAAATACAAGGTTTTAACTTTAGATAAAAGAGGGAAAGGGTGAAAAAAAACAAAAGCGACAATGACTGAATGCATAATTAGTCATTACATTTGCATATTGTTGCTTGGATCATGCCAAAAGAAAGAAAGATTAGCCTTAACATACCTGAGTCGATTCTCACGTTAATTAAGTTGCTAGGAAATCCCGGGTCTTGAAGCGTTGAAGACGCTATAGAATGTCAAACATTTGAATTCCTCCAAAATTTTGAATTCTCACGTTATCAGATGAATGGAATGGATATATGACCCTTTTTATGTCCTTAGGACATATCTGATTTCCTTTTGCAAAAATGTGTACCATTTAAGTCTTAAGACAAGTTGCCACATGGACAAATGACTTTAAGAGTCAGTCCTAAGATTATGGTGGTGTTGCCACGTGTGGGGTTCTTAATATTATCTTATAATTTATTTATTAATTAGGTAATGTCCCGTTACCCGTTAATTAATCAATTTCTCACCTAATTAAGAATTATTTCAAATTACTTAAAATTTTACTTATCTTAATACACTTTATACTTCATATTATTACGGTCATAAAGCACCTTGTATGGTACTAGTCCATAAATGTCGGGTATTATAGCTCAGATCATATTTTATCCCAAAATAACAAACTTCGACGATACTCAATTTCTTCAATTCGTTAACCATCTGACCTTTATGACACTTGTTACAAATAGCATAAATGCTTATGATCTCAAAATAATCTCATTCCCGAGTCTACATTGATTAACTTATGATGAAACTTTAACGTACTAAATGCGGGATGTAACAACTTCCGTCCCAATTTTCAAATAACACGTTCGAGAGAATCTTTCTAGAATCAAATTTATCAATGCATGATGACAACTTCCTTTTCACATCAAATCCGTTACGCTAGCAACCGCTCAACAAAACATGAGATGTCAACTCAACTCAAGTAATCTCATCCTGGCAACCAAATCATCAAATAACCACAAAGGCATAGATTAATATGTTAGGTGCAACGTAACATATGTAAAATGCATGACAACTCATAACGAATTCACTTGTATCAAGGCAATACTAGTTTTGACAACAAGCCATCAAATAGAAACACAAATATGTGGCATCTCATGCCCACAAAAAAATTACAATAACAACAGCCACACGTATCACTCCGCACTGACAAAATTATAATAGCCACACGTATCACTCCGCCC